GGGAATGTACTAGCTACAAATTGGTTTTACAATGCAAATACAGAAAATTAAAACCGGCAATAGGAAACAAAATGAGAAAACAAAGTGCTTCCACTGGAACACATACCCTATTTGTAAGATGAATGAAAGTGTCTAAACATACTAAGATCTGAGAGAAAATTGTGTGGGAATGAAGTCCTTCAACTAGCATGTTGTGAACACGAATCATCTTTTAATTAGTTAAGTACAATACGTACATATATATGTGGAGGTAGTAGCACCAACTCGGTTTTACACTGAAACCTGCAAGAATTTCATACAGACCCTATGGAACACCCTCAGAAATAAGAGCAATTGTATCACTTTTAACACTCTCCCTTGGTGCTAGATGAACGAATGCCTCTCCACATGCTAATATCTGAGAGATAATTGTGTGTGAAAGCATTCCTTCCTAGCTTGCCTGCAAAACAGTTTCTTTCAGTTGGAAATTAGTGTATGTACATATATATGGGGAGGTACAAGTTAAAAATTTGGGATTACAGTGAAATTTGCAGGAACCTAAAATGGGCTCTAGGATGCAGACTGGGAACCCAGAATAAGTGTGTCTACTTCAACACGTTCCATTTGTGCTAGATGAACAATCGTCTCTCCACATGCTCAACTCTGAGAGATAAGTTTTTGTGAAATCCGTCATTCACCAAGCATGTTAGAAACAAAATGATTCTTTTCATTGGGAAATTACTATTCGTATATACATATATGGGGAGAATCTAACTCCAACTCTGGGTTACAGTGAAAATTGCAGGAATTTCAAACCGACCATAAGAAACAGACTAAGAAATTAGAGTAATTTTATCTCTTTTAAACCACTCCCTTGGTGCTTGATGAATGATAGTCCCTCCACATGCTCAAATCTGAGACAAAATTGTGTGTGAAAGAAGTTCTTCACATAGCAGGTTGGGAACACAAATTTTCTTTTCATTAGGTTAGTACACTACTTATATATATATGGGGAGGTATAAGCTCCTAAATGGTTTTTCAGTGAAAACTGCAGGAACATCAAGCATACCCAGGAAACAAAATTAGAAATTAGAATACTTGTATCACTTTGAAAACACTCCTTTGGTGCTAGATGAAAGAAAGTCTCTCCACATGCTAATTTCTGAGAGAAAAGTGTGTGTGACAGCCGCCCTCCATCTAGCTTGCTGGCAACGCAAATTTTCTTTTCCGTTGGAAATTTCAAAATGTACATACATAAGGGAGGTACAAGCA